TTCTGGGCTGGCTGAGTGGTGCGATGGTTAAGAGTTGGCCTGGGACTCCAGCTCTGAGCAGCAGGGCCCCAGTTCGGATCCCACATGAGAGCCAGTGACACTGCGCCCTCTACAGCTGAGATGGTGAACAACAGCTTGACCTGGAGCTGGGCCGCCATGAGCCGCTGGCCACAGTGTAGGCTGCAGTGAGGCTGGCCGGCAGTGGGCATGAACTTTCAGGAGCTGCCGTGAGCGGGGTCGAATGGGTGGTGACCAATCTGTCTCACCCGGGAAGAGCACAATGATAATACCAACATGGGCCAGTGAAGCGCTGTCCTCCACAACCAGACTGAAGAACAAAAGGACAGCAACTTGTCTGTTCTCCTCCCGAAATTCTCCAATAATAAAATATTTTTTTAAAAAAAGGCCATGTTCTGAAACATAACATAAAACTCCAAAACTTGAGACTCCACTTTTGAGGGAGGGTAACCAAGAGCTCTTAAGGATATAGGGCCTTTCTTAGAACTGTAAACGCAGCTTACCTAGCTTCCTTCCAAGCATTCCTGTATGACTTTGTTGTTCTATTTCATTCTTCTTGTCCCACATTCTGACTGTCTTGCTGCCAATGGCAGCTACTAGGTGAAATCTGAGCAAATTGGAGAAGTCCTATTTACTGACGTGTGAGACTGTTTTTCTGCAGTTGTGTCATCTCTAGCTATGGTAATGAGCTCCAAACACGCTCCTGATTAGCATGAAATAGGACCAATCCCTGCTTACATCCTGTTTACCTGTTTCATCTTCCAATGGAATTAGAAAAGTTAAGAGATCCAAGGTGGTGGAGTAGATAAATACCATGCTTGTGTCCTTCCATGAACACATTAAAATTACAACTAAATTAAAGAACAATAAGCCTGGAGAACCATCTGAAGTCTAGCCTAACAAGAAGTCCTGTGACTAAAAATATAAAGAAGCAGCCATGTAGAAACTGGTAGGGAGGGCAGAGACGTGGGACGAGTCCCAAACCTCCCTATGGCTGTTGAGAATCAGAAGGGATATCTTGGCTGTGGAGGTTCCCCCAAAAGGAGTGAAGGACTCTGGACCCCAACACCAGGCTCTGCAGCCTGGAGTACTGGTGCCAGGAAGAGGAGCCCCCACAACATCTGACTGTGAAAAATAGTGGGGATTCCGACCATTCAGGTGGGACAGAAGGCTGTGGGAAACCCAGTCATCCTCCTAAATGACCCATGCACAGACTTACTCACTCGCAGGCACTCACCTTCAGCTCCGGTGCAGAGACAGTGATTCAGGGGATGTCAGAGACATACGGGGGAGCAGAATGAGATGTGTGGATTCAGGGAGAGGACGGGAGGACACTTGGCATTTTTGCTGTGTGAGTTCCTCCTCCGTGTAGCTGGCAGGCAGGCACCATCTTTCCTGTGTTAAGCCTGCCCCCAACACAGCCAAATTTGAATCTGATTGGCCTGGTGAACGCCGCTGCGCCACTCTGCTGACTCATTTGATTCCACCCCACCCAACTCCCCCAATGCCAGAGGCACTTTCTCCGAGAGCAGCGAGCCCCACATGCGTTGCACTCTTTCTTGGAAAACTATTGAAGTCCAGCAGGCCCCCAGTGGACAGTGACTGGCCTTGGTGTGCTCTAAGAATTTTGCTGAGTTGTTCCAGGCTCAACACTGGCACCAAACCAGAGTTTACATTAACCTGGTCACCAAAACTCTTCCCACTCTAGTGACTCCCTGAGACCTCACCTTACCTAACTCCATATCCCATGAGGCTTTATCGGAAGATGAACCTTAAAGGCGCTGGCAGGTAGCAGCAGGCCTTGGGATGTCCTCGCTTTTTGCAGAGCTACCCCAGGCCCAGTACTGGTGGGAGATGTCTTCATTATGTAGCGTGGCCTCTCCCACGCACCTCCAGGTTTAGCACAGGCAGCAAACAACCACGGATTGCTTTGTATCTCCTGCCAGGTTGTTCCCAAACAGTCACAGGCAGTGGCTGACCTGGGTCTGCACCAGAGCCTCTCTTAAGAGGCCCCAGAACCAACATACTTGGAGGTTGGCTTCAGACCACAGCAGAATACTCCCAACTAGCCCCACAAGTGGCACACACAAAGGGTGGTATCAACAGGCACCAGAGCCCGCAGGGGCAAATCCCACTCAGTGTGGTAAGCCCCCTGCATGGCAGCCCATAAGCTGTGGACATGGCCAAACCCCACAGCCAGTCACTATAAGGGTCAATCCCACCCACTGATGTGCCAATAGCAATCAATACTCAACTATAACAGGACGGCATGCACAACCCACACACAGGACACACCTGGAGCACCCAGAGCAGGTGACCAGGGAGACGTGCCTCTGGGCCCCACAGGACACCTACTACAAAAGGCTACCTGGACAAGAATGGGAGACATAGAAGATCTACCTCACACATAAAAACAAACATAGAGAGACAGCCAAAATTAGGACACAAAGAAATGTATCACAAATGAAAGAACAGGAGAAAAATCCAGAAAAAGAACTAAATGAAATGGAGGCAAGGCACGTACCAGAGACTGAGTCCAAAACAATGATTTTAAGGATGCTCAAGGAACTTAGAGAGAACTTCAACAAAGACATAGCAATCATAAAAAAAGACATACAAACCATACATGACAACCAGTCAGAAATGAAAAATACAGTAACTGAAATGAAGAATGCACTAGAAGGAATCACAAGCACACTAGATAAAGCAGAGGACTGAATCAGAGATTTGGAAGACAAGGTATGAGAAAACACCCAATTGGAATAGCAAAAAGAAAAAAGAATCCAAAAAATTTAGGATAGCTTAAAAGACCTCCAGGATAACATCAAGCATAACACTCATATCATAGGGATACCAGACGAGAGAAAACAAGGGATTGAGAACCTATTTGAAGAAATAATAACTGAAAACTTTCCTAACCTGGCAAAGGAAATAGACATACAAGTCCAGGAATCCCAGAGGGTCCCAAACAGGCCCATAGCTAGGCACATTATAATTAAAATGGCAAAGACAAAGAGAGAATCCTAAAAGCAGCAAAAGAAAGGCAACTAGCAACTTACAAGGGAGCTCCCATAAGACTGTCAATTGATTTCTCAACAGAAACTTTGCAGGCCAGAAGGGACTGGCACAAAATATTCAATGTGATGAAAAGCCAGGACCTACAACCATGATTACCCAGCAAGGCTATCATTTTGAATCCAAGGATAGATAAAGAGCTTCCCAGACAATAAAAAGCTAAAGGAGTTCATTCTCACGAAAATAGCATTGCAAGGAATGTTAGAGAGACTTCTTTAAAATGGAAAAAAAAAGATCAAAATTATGAACAATAAAATGGCAATAGCTACATATCTATCAACACTTTCAATGTAAATGGATTAAATGCTCCAATCAAAAGATAGGGTGGCTGAATGGCTAAGAAAACAAAACCCTTACATATGCTGCCCACAAGAGACTCACTTCAGATTGAAAGACACAGACAGAAAGTAGAAGTGGAAAAAGATATTTCATGAAAATGGAAAAAAAAAAAAAGCTGGGATAGCGATACTTATACCAGGCAAAATAGACTTCAAAACAAAGACTGTAAGAAGAGACAATGAAGGATCTGATAATCCCACTTCAGGGTATTTATCTAAAGAAACCCAAAATGCTACTTCGAGGGGACATGTGCATCCATATGTTCATTATATCATTGTTTACAATGGCCAAGATGTGCAGGCCGCTTGGGCTGGGTGTCCATCAGTGTACGAATGGATAAAGAGGAGGTGGTACATATATACAATAGCTCAGCCATGGAACGAAATGGGTTCTTGCCATCTGCAGTGGCATGGATGGACCTGGAGTGTGTTGTGCTGGGTAGAGTATGTCAGACAGAGAAAGACACATGCAATGTGATTTTGCTTATATGTGGAATCTAAGAACAAAATTAACAAACAGAAAAAAACTCGTAGATAGAGAGAGCATTTTGATGGTTGACAAATGGGAGGGGGGCTGGGGGTGAGTGTAAAAGGGGAAGGGGTTAAGAAGTACAAATTGGTTGTTACAAAGTAGTTATGGGGATGTAGGGTATAGCATAAGGAATATAGTCAATAATATTGAAATAACTATGTATGGTGTCAGATGGGTACCAGATTTGTTGTGATAGAAGGGAGGGGGTTGGGGGCAGGGTGAACAAGGTGAAGGAATTAAGGAATACAAAATGGATACAAAATAGTCATAGGGATGTAAAGTACAGAGAATTTAGTCAATAATATGGTAATAACTATGTATAGTACCAGGTGGATACTAATCAGGGGGAATCACTTCTTAAATTATACAAATGTCTAACCACTATGCTGTACACCTGAAATTAATATACCATTGAGTGTCAACTGTAACTGAAAAATTTAAAAGGGGGGCAATATGAAGGTGAATAAGAGGTCCAAATTTCCAGGTATAAAACAAGTCACGGGGATGTGATGTACAGCATGGGGAATATAGCCCATAATATTGTGATAACATGGTACAGTGTCAGATGGCTGATGGGCTCATCATGGTGATCACATCTTTAGGTATATAAATGAATAACTATTGTGACACCTGTAACTACTATAATATTGTATGTTAGCTATATTTTAATAAAAATCTTTTTAAAAAATTAAAGTTTTCACCCATGAATCTCTTAAATACTTCTGAAGTACAGTTACACTCACCTCCCTGAAAAAAAGAGTCCCAGAATAGCTAACTATAGAATGAAACACCTTTCAGGGAGACGATTGACTGATTTGTAACTGCATTTTACATTCGTGAAGGATCTTCCCGCCCCAGTTCTGACTCGTTTTCACATTTTCTGCCTATAGTGACCTTCGTATCTCCTGTGGTGCCCTGAGGTGCGTCCCTAGAAGATTAGGATCTTTTCCTATATAAGTGAAGAAAAGGGCTCCTACTCTACTTGCTTCTAAAGAAACTAAGAGGAACATACAATAAAATGACAATTCTGACTAAAATAAGGAGGCAAACACACTTTTTTTTACTAATTTATTAATAAGTTTAATAATAAACTTATAAAAAGAACATATTTTTGGCTTTGAAATCATGACATAAAATAAAGAGGCAAATAACTGGAAATTATCAGCCTGAAAGGTGAAAGCAGCTCATGCTGACCCATGAGCAAACACCGCGTGCTTTGGACTATAGCAGGGGGCACCATTTCAAGCAAGACCCCAAGATGCAGTGTGAGTTCAAGGCCCAAGCTGTCTCTAAAAACTGCTTAGCTCCCAAAGGTTTTTTGGTCATCATACATGGAAATTAACCCTCCCTCTCTCTAACTTTCCTCCTTTCCTTCTAACCTTTAACTACGAGAACAGTAGGCAATAACGGCTTGATGCTAGTCTTTCTAGTTTGTAGGAGAGTGCTATTGTTTTAACATGTTTAACTTACACATTATTTTCAACCTTCAAGAACATAAAAGTGTGATTATAAAATCAACTACAAGCCATTTCTATTTTTGGTCAGTTATCTGCTGTAGGCAAAGCTTCATGTAGGAGTTTTTACTGCGGATCTCTATGACTGCATCCCTGACAAGCTCAATGAACATCTGCGGCCAAAGCTTCTGCAGAGCTTCATTTTTCTTGTTGATTTCTGTGGCTTCCTTCACAAGGTCCTCTATATACATCTGGCAGAATTTCTTTTTTTCCTTTATATCCTGTAAAAAAGAGAAAAATTTGCATTGCATTATAATTAATCCAAAAGCCAAAGCAACAATGAGCTGAACCAGGGAAACTTGAAATAATCTATTGTGGCCCCTGCCTCTCAGAGCAGCAGTACTTTCCCAGACAGTCTGCACACAGCTCTGCTTGAGTAAGGACATCACCAGGGAGCCCCTACTTCCCCGTCCACTCCTGCCTCTGCTAGACAACTTGTGAGACAATGTGCTTCTTTATCAGAATCACTGGGTCATAACGACTGTTTCTCCTTGGGATACATTCTCCTTTCTCAGTTCAGGTACACTAGCTCACATGTCAGCTGAATGCACAGATTCATGGCTTCTGGTGGTAAATGTATCAGAGTATTGATACTGACAATCTAATTGGTATTATGTCAGTTAATAGCCATATACATCCTTTAAATGCCCATCCTCTGAATTCACTCTGTATTTTCGGAAAGCAGCTAGTGGTAAATCACATTGACTTACGTGGCCTAGACAATTTGGACAAAGTTGGGGGAAAGTGTATAAAGAGGGAGAGGAAATAGAAGTAAATACAAGCCTGGGACCCAGAAGTTGGCCTTCAACAGAAAGTGTTCTCACTCAGCTTCTGGGTCTGGCAGTCTGCACTTGAAAAACCTGGGTTCGAAACACAGCACCAGAAGTTTTGGACCAAAGAACACTCGGCACTGGGTCCCAGTTTCATCCAAGAAACTGAAACAAAGCCATTTTGTTTAATGTAAGAACTCAACATTATTTCTGAATTGATGCTTTTGGAGAGTATAAAGGCATGTGATAGAAAATGTCATAATATATATGGAAAAATCAGTAGAATACATCAGATAATCAGAATTACAAGGGAATCAATTCACATCAATGAATAAGAAAAGAAATAATAAATGTCAATGAGACAGTAGGTTTAACTACTTGGAAAGGATCCACTGAAACCTCCAGTTTGATTTGAGTTGACTCAAAACACAAAAATATTTTCAAGATGAATTAAAGGGTGACATTTAAAATATCAACACGAGGAAGGAGCAAAAATGGCGGTGGTGAGGAGGGCTCCCTGGAAATCACTGCAATTTGAACAGCTGGAGTGCAGCAAACAAACCTCTACCGAGCACGCTGAGCAGCGAAGGGTCTTCCTCACCGAGTACTTACAGGTGGGCAGACCACTTAAAGGTGGGCAGACCGGGTGACTGGTGGAAGAGTGAGGCGAGACACGTGGAGGCACAGCCTGCACCCATGGTGTTTGAGACTCGGGGCCTCAGAGAGCAGATCGGAGGTAATTCCCATGGCTTGCTCCCTGAACCTCCGGCCTGCGCTAACACAGAAACCTCAGGACGGGCAAGTGGGGGAATGGAGAGAGGATACGTGCAAGCAGAGGCACAGTCCATCTGCGCCCGCGGCTGCGGAGCTGTAGGATTTCAGGACACAGCAGAGGTGTTTGCAGCATCAGAGCAAGCTCAGCCTCTGGGCTGACCATCCTGATGGGAGAGTGACAGGAGCCCCAGGGTGCGGACTCTGAGGCAGAAACCTCAAACTGGTTGAGCAGAAGAGGGAAACGAGAAGTGTGGAGACTCAGCCCGTACTCAGCAGCTGTGGAGACATGAGCTGCAGAACCAGGGTGGGCTCCTGGAGCACAGCAGGACCTCTGCTGGAGCGTCTGAGCTCAAAATGGTGGGGTTTGTTTTTTTCCCCTCTTTTCTCTTGGACAGAAAAAAAAACAAAAATACAAAACTGCATAGATAAGAGCCCACCCCCACCCTCCCTCAGAAACCTTGACCCCCGCTTTGCCAGAGCCTTAGGCTGACCCCTGAAGAGAGGAGTAGGGTTAGACTACAGAGACACTCCTACTCCCAGGGGGTTGAGAAACTCCGCATGAGAAGAGGCTGCAGGAGTGTGAGCCTAAACACACCGCCCCCAACCCCACCTCTCCTGGGCGGCTTGGGAAGCAGAGCAACTTCAGCTGCTGAGTCACAAGCAGGCCTCCCTGGAAGGTGGCTTCTAGCAGCTCTGAAATCTCCAACCCCCCGCCCCAACAGCCCCCAGTGGAAAGAGTGCCCGAAGACGCACATCCAGCCCTCTGGCTGCGCAGAACTCAGAGTGCCTCTGGGCAGGAGGGAGCAGGAACAGCATTGACTTTGTAAAAACTACCAATCACACCACATAACCCCACTCATCTAAAATAGACCTGCATTACCAGGGTCACTCTAGGCGCCAGGCGGCGGGCTCTGCCCCCACAAGACACAGAGGAGTTTGTGTATAGCAGAGGAAAACCTGGGGAGAGCTTGGCGGATTTCAATCAAGACTGGCACTGGTTGTTTCTTGTTTTTTCTCCTCTTTTTTTGTTTTTTTGTTTGTTTTCGTTTTTGGTTGTTTTGGTGTGTTATATTGTTATTGTTACTTGGGTTCTTTTGGATGTTCTGGGGGGGGGTTTCATTGGTTGTTTGTGTTGGTTGTTTTTGTTTTTTTCTATTTCATTATTTTTAGTTTTTTTCTAGGCATATATAAGGTTCATATATGTGGCTAATATGTCCATATATATGGGGGTGTAGATATATATATATATTTTTTTTCTTCTTTTTCCTCTCTTTCTTTCCTTCTTCTTTTCTATCCTATCTCCCTTCATTTCTGCTTTCCTGTCACTACTCTACTTTTCCTCCTTCTTTCCACTTTTTCTGCAAGTTTTTCTGTTGTTGTTTTTTGGGTCTTGCTATTTTGTTTCTCACGCTTATTCTATTTTTTAGTTTATTACATTTTATTTTGCTATTTTTTCCTTGTTTTTTTCATTTTTGTTGTTTTGTTTCTGTTGGTTTGTTTTCTCCTTTTGTATGCTTGATATTTCTCTATATGTTGAGTGTAGGGTGATGGTTGTTTTGTATATCTGAGAGTATCTGGTTACCTTTGGTGGCTGTTGTAGTTGTGTTTGTTGATCTGTTTTGCTCTAAAACCCGCTCTGCTGTGGGGCCCAGCCAAAGAGGCACAAGAATCATCACACCCAGAGACCAACTTTAGATAAAACCAGAGCAATATGGCGTCTGACCTACAAAAGTCACACCCAAAGGGAAATTGCTACAGGCACAAGAGCCCATAGGGGCCAAGCCTTATCGGAGGGGTCAACCCTCACACAGTAGCTCATAAACTGTGGACACAGCTAATTCTCACAGCTAGTCAGCTTGGGAGTCAATCCCACCTACTGACAAACCAAAAACAATCAAAACTCGACTTCAACAGAAGACACACAACACAAGGAACACCTCTGGTACACACACACAGGAGAAAAGGGAGACTGAGTAATTCAAATATAAAGGACACATACCACATAAGTCCACCCAGAAGAGACTGAGAGACCTAGGGGATCTACCAATTACATTGAAGCAAGCACAAAGAGTAAGCCAAAATAGGGACATAAAGAAACACATCCAAAATAAAAGAACAGAAGAAACCTCCTGAATCTGTGGAACTAGAGGAAATAAAGGTAAACAACCTATCAGAGACAGAGTTCAGAACACTGATTATTAGAATGTTCAAGGAAATTAATGAGAATATAAAGAAGGATAGAGAAATCATAAAAGACAACCAGCTAGAATTAAAGAATACAATTACTGAATTAAATAACAACCTTGATGGAATTACTAGCAGATTGGATGAAGCAGAGGATCGAATTAGCGACTTAGAAGACAAGATAGCACAGATCTTCCAAGTGGAACAACAAAAAGAAAAAAGAATAAAAAATATTGAAAATAGTTTAAGAGAGCTGGGCGACAACATCAAACGCAACAACATGCGCATCATAGGAATACCAGAAGGAGAAGAGAGGGAGCAAGGGATCGAAAACATATTTGAAGTAATAATGTCTAAAAACTTCCCTAAACTGGCAAAGGAAATTGACATACAAGTACAGGAAGTATAGAGAGTTCCAAACAAGCTGAACCCAAACAGGTCCACACCAAGACACATCATAGTTAAAATGGCAAAGGTTAAAGACAAAGACAGAATCCTAAAAGCAGCAAGAGAAAGGCAGCAGGTTACATACAAAGGAACTCCTATAAGACTAACAGCTGACTTTTCTACAGAAACTCTGCAGGCCAGAAGGGAGTGGCAGGAGGTCTTCAAAGTGATGAAAAACAAAGGCCTACAACCTAGATTGCTTTATCCTGCAAGGTTATCATTTAAAATTGAAGGAGAGATGAATAGCTTCCCAGAAAAGAATAAGCTAAAGGAATTCATTACCACCATGTCAGCATTGCAGGAAATGTTAAAAGGGCTTCTTTAAGCAGAGGAAAGAGAAAAACAACCTAACTAATAAAGACCAGGAACACAAATAACAAAATGGCAATAACTACACACCTATCAGTAATCACATTAAATGTAAATTAACTGAATGCTCCCATCAAAAGACATAGGGTGGCTGAGTGGATAAGTAAGCAAGACCCTTGCATATGCTGTATACAAGAGACTCACCTCAGACCAAAAGACACATACAGGTTGAAAGTAAAAGGATGGAGTAAAATATTTCATGCAAATAAATGGAACTGAGAAAAAAGCTGAAGTAGTGATACTTATATTAGATAAAATGGACTTTAAATTGAAGAACATAATAAAGGACAAAGAAGGGCACTTCATAATAATAAAAGGATCGATTCAACAAGAATACATAACCCTAGTAAACATCTATGCACCTAACACAGGAGCCCCTAAATATATAAAACAGATATTGACAAACATAAAGACAGAGATCAATAGTAACACTATCATAGTAAGGGACTTCAATGCCCTGCTGTCACCAATAGACAGATCCTCCAGACAGAAAATCAACACGGAAACAGTGGTCTTAAATGACACTTTAGACCAGCTGGATTTAATAGATAGTTTTAAAGCATTTCACACCAAAGCTACAGAATATACATTCTTCTCAGGTGCACATGGAACATTTTTCCAAGATAAACCACATGTTAGGCCATAAAACAAGTCTCAATAAATTTAAGAAGATTGAA